ACTCTCTCCTTCCCCCACTGGGCTCTGGCCCCTTCCCAAACCCTCCCTCCCCCACCACTGGGATCTGCCCCCCCTCCCTTCCCCCCACTCCTCTGGCTTTCCAGGCCTATGCCAACCAAACTTCACCCCCCCCCACTCACTGTGGGTCCGGGCCCTGCCTTCCAAGCCCTGGGCTCCAGTCAGTGGGTCTGTGCTTAGTCTGGCACCCTGGGCAGGGTGGGGAGCCCCCGCTAGCTGGTAACCCTGCAGCCAGCCTGAGCGTGGGTGCCACGGGGACTTTCCATGCCCAGTGCGGGGCTGGCTGAGCAACCTGCCCAGTGAGTCACAGTCTGTCACGGCCCCTGCCGGATGGGCATTGGTTTGTTTTCAGGAAGAAGGCACCAGACATCCATTAATAAAATTAAATAAATTAAATAAAATAAATAATACCCTTCCCCCTCCAGTCCCCGGGCCTGGGCAGCTTCCAGCGGGTCACTTCCAGGACCAAGGTGAGCACACAGGGCCCCAGCTGCAGGGGATGCCCACCCTTACTCCACCCGGGGAAAGCACACACCAGCAAACCAGACCAGAGCCCGGTGGGGGGGGGCGTCAGCTCTGCTTTCAATTTGGTCACATCCAAGACTTAAGTCAGCCCCCAATATTCATTCCATGGCGAGGGCAGGAGCAAGCAGCCGGGGCAGGACTCTTCCAGGCCTGCTCCTTCTCCAGGGAATTGCCTGGGCACAGGACACCCCCTGACAGCTTCTGCCCAGTTCCTTGATTTTACCTCCTGTTGATGTGGATTTGCTTTGGCTATGAACGTGCAGTGCTGGGTGCAGATTCCCAGCGCCAGCCTGCTCCCAACGGACTGGACAATGCCTCTTCAGAACAACAGACCTGCAAAGGCCGATCCCACCAGCTGTAAAACAGGTGTTATCTAAATACAGACTCTGGGAGAGGCGACAAGGGCCAGGACTTTGCTCTGCTACACACACAACCTCGAGTCAGCTCCCACGGGGGTACCCGACCTTCTGGTTCCGATTGCATCTGCCCCTGCCACGGACTCCTTCCAGCAGGCACCCTCCTTTCCCTCCCGTCCCGTGGCAGGGCAGCTGGGCCCTTGGCATTCCTGCCTCTATCCAAAAGCCAAGCGAGGGGGAGAGAGCAGGACCTAGGCAACCCCAGGAAGGGGGTTTGAATTGCCCTGAGCCAGCTTGCTAAATTCATTAAGAGCAGCCCAGAGATGAGTCTAGTTCATTTAACAGTAATTAGTTAACAAATATTATCATTAGTTAACCACTAACAAAATTAGCCACATGCATTAACATCAGCCCAGCCCTCTGGATTGCATCTCAAGTGCCCCCCAGCGTCCGCTTGGTGCCTTAGGCCATGAGGTATTTGGGACTGGATTGGGAGCAGCTGGTTCTCCCCAAGCTCAGGGACTGGGGATTTCCCAGCCTCCAGCCCCTCCCAGAAGAAAAGCCACTCCTGAGGCTGAGCAACACCACAGTGATTTATTGTCAGTTACCGACAGGGGAAGAGCCCTGTCCCCCGTCCCAGTCACCCCAGAAACAGCTCGGCCGTTCCTTGCGTGCGCATTCCAGAGCCCCCGTCAACACGCAGCCGCAGCCTGCGGCAAGGCGCCTGTGCTCCCAGGCCCAGCTGGAGCAGAGATACTTGCTCAGGAAGGTGCTGGCTGCTCCTCCCTCTCCGTACATTGAGACAGGGATCACTGAAGCCCCTAGCACTAGGAGCCGGGGCACCAACGGTCTGACCTCAGTGACGCTGGGGCTCAGCACGACCTGCCCCACCACAAACACCTGTTGTTAGGGGCACACCCGCCCCAGCAGAGAACCAGGCAGGGCTTCCCCGCAGGAGGGCTGAGCCCCCTTTTCGGTCACGAAGCAGCGGCAGTGGGTGTGACATGTAACCGATTCGGATCAGTTTCCTCAAGGCAACATGGGGTATAAATAAGGTACGAACCCGCCACCTCTCCTCAGCTCGCTGGGGGAGCCCCCAGCTCCGAAGAGGCCCTGTCCTCTTGCAGCACGAGAACAGAACGGGTCTGCCCCTGCTACTGCAGGACAGAACCAGCAATACAAATAATTGACATAAAATGTCTACCGAAGATAAGTAACAATACTTACTGGTACAGTGCTCCCATCCCCCCAAGCAGCGCTGCCCCAGCCCTCCCCAGGGGGCTGCTGGACTAAGCCACTCTCAGCTGAGCTGGCCACCGGGGGATTGGCAAACCTGCCCCCACCTGGGGCCAGCAGAGGCCCCAGGTGGCAGTAATGGAGCCAGGCTGCTTTTAAAGGCTCCCACATGATGGGTGAATCCTGTAGCTAGCCAGCAAGGCAGGTCTCCTGGGCCGTGCCACCCAGCCTCCCTTCCCTTTAAGGCTCTGTGCCAGAGGCATGTTGTTTCCGGGGTGGGGGGCAGCATTTTTGGTTGCTAGACTTTTCTTCCTGAGTTTGGCCACACAGGCACATACACAAAGTGCTTTTTCAGCAGAGATGGCGAGCCCTGGAGCGAGGCCCACTAGAACAGCTCCCAGATGGGGCAAGCTGCCATCTCCCTGGGGTCGCTAAGCAGGCTGGGGCCAGGCGAGGGACCCCGGTGCGGGCAGTGTGGAGCCCCAGGGGACTCTGAGCCCAGAGGGAGCCCTAGCGGAGTCACCCCTCTGCTTCAGGTGCTAGTGTTGTCGAGTCAGCGCTGGGCACAGGACGAGGCCAGCTCAGCACCGGGGCTCCAGGATCCCCCTCAGCTCAACTCTGATCTGGCTTGGTCCTGAGCCCCCCTCCTCCGGAGGAGCCTGGACCTGACACTAGAACCAGCCCTTTGCTGGCAGCGCCTCCCGCCCCCGGGGCTCCGTGTGCTCCCGCTGCCCGACAGGTTAGCAGCATCCCGCACGGGGAAATGGGGCCAGAACGGTGAGCTGACTGGCCCAAGGTCCTGCCCTGACTCAGTGGCAGGGCCCAGGGGACACGCTCCCTTCCTGAGCCAAGGGGATCTAGGAAGCTGCCCACACGACCAGCCTCAGCTGTGAGAGTTAGCACCAAGCTGCCGGCAGGGGCTCCAGCCCCAGCCCTGCGCTGCTCCGGGGTGCTCAGTCTAGCTAGGGCTGGGGACGCTCCATGCCCTGCGCCTGGAGCCTGCTGAGCAGGGTTTGCTTTGTAAACCTAGCAGGATGGGGGGGATTTTCCACAAGAACCCCGATTCCCCCTTCAGAGGGAAAGCTGGGGTTGTGGAGAGGTGCCTGGGGCACAGCCGGGGAGGGCTCTCCAGGGCCTGCGTCCTGTGGGGCGGGGGTTCTGCCCCCCAGCCCTTGCAGTGTCTGTGCCCCTGGAGAGGCCCGTTTGGAAATGGAGCCCAGCTGGGGCTGAGGGCCGGGCGAGGGAAGCATGACTCAGCAGCAGCACAGCGGCAATGATGCTGAGATCGTCCCTCTGCCTGCCTTGGTCTGCTGCCACCACCAAGTCTGTTGCTCCGGGAGTGCATTGCTTCCCCCGCTGCCATCCGCACACCCGGCTCCTCGCGGGCTGAGATGCAGACTTTCCTTACAAGGGGAGGGAGCGGTGATGCCTGCTGTGTGTCCCCTCTCGTCCCAGTGCCGCCATTGTGCAGAGGAGCAGCGTGCGCCTTCGCTGGCCCCGGGCACAGCATTGCTCAGGGCGTTCATAGATCTGCCCTCCCTCACTAGGGTCCTGGTTGTAGAGCAGCAGCCAGATCTGCTGACAGGGCTCCTCCAAGCGCCAGGCCGTGGCAGGCCCTGCCCGCAGCGACAGCAGGGCTGGCTCCACTGGCCTGGGAGAGGCCTTCTCCTTCCCATCCCAAGTCAGAGCCCGTAGAGGGGAGCCAGGGAAGCCAGCCCTGGCTAGCAGCGTCAGCAGCTCGCTGCTGGGCAGGCTCATGGGCACCTCTGCAGCCGCTGCCTCAGCTCCTCCGCGCAGCCGGCCAGCTCCATGCGCTCCAGGGCTGAGAAGATGGACTCCAGCGTGGCGTTCTTCTGCTGGTACCACCTCTTCAGCATCTCGTACTGCTGGTCCCGGACGTGGGCGAACTCCAGCTCCACCACCTCGATCTCGCCGTCGTGCAGCTCCAGCACCCGCATGAACTCCTTCCAGCGCCGCACGGGCACCGTGTTGATGATGTCGTACAGCTTGCTGCCCTGCGGGAGAACGCCAGGGAGGGGCCCTGCGGGACAGCGAAACAGAGCGTCAGCCAGGCGCAAAGCAGCCTGCAGAGAAGGAGAGGCTGAGGGGGAGCCAGTGATGAGCTGCCAGCTGTCTGATGTGCCTGTGCCAGCCCCGTGCCTAGGGCGGGAGGCTGGGATGTTGGCAAGCAGCCAGGGTGGCTGCATGTGCCGCGGCACAAGGCACCTTTCTGCAGTGCGTGGCTTACTTGCTGTGTCCCGGGGCTCCGCGGGCGACTCCCAGGTGTCCTGGCTGCCAAGGGGCCTGACTGAACAGGCGTTGCCGTTCATTTGCGATGCCTCCGTGACCTGAAGGTGGAGCAAACCCTGCGACTCCGGGGGCTTTTCTACGGTGCCAGACGGACACGCTGAGGCCTGGAACAGAAAGAAGCCACCATTTGCAAGGGAAGCCCTGATCTCTTGGCCGGGGGGAGCCAGCAGCCTGGTGCAGCAGGACAGGAGAGAAGTCTGCCTAGTGGGCAGCTCCCGGCCAGGCCGGGGCAGGGGTGGGGGCGTCGGAGGAATTTCCTGGCTTCCTGGCTGGGCAGACATCCTAGGTCAAAATAAGCTGCTCTGAAATAAGAGGGAGAACCTGCCTCATCCATTCAGTCCCCAGCCCCTCTGCTGAGGCTGCCAGTGAGGGGGGTGGGCACCTGTTCACTGGGAACTAGCTGAGACCCATCAAACTCATCTCCTAGTGCCAATGACCAGCCTGCAGGGGACAACTACGGCCCTTCACCTGGATCTGAACTAGCCATAAACAGCTACAAATGCCCCAGCCTCCAGGCCGCAGCACGAGCAGGGCCAGCACCCACGGCCGCCCCAAGCAGCGTGTGTGAGCGCTGCAGGGCAGGGCCAGCCAGACCCCAGGGCGTGGGCCCTGCCGATGGCGCAGGCGAAGGGGCGCAGGCAGCGTGGGCAGTGCGTTTAGGCCCAGGCCAGGTCCCATGTGCCCGGGCTGGGCTCTCACCTGCTGCAGCGTCGAGTCTTTCACTGCTGCGGCCTCACCTGCCAGGAGAGAGACGGAGCCATTAGTCAGTGCCCCAGGGCTCTGAGCACGAGGCCTCCCTTAGCCCGGGCCAAGGGCTCTGCTGTGCAAAACGCAGAGTCGAACACGAGGGGGAGGCTAATGGCTAAGACAGCGTGGGGGTGGGTTACCGGCTGCTGGGGAATCATTCCTGATCGTCCTCCTCTTGTGGTAGATGACGAGCGCTCCTAGGAAGAGGGGCCCCATGAGGCCCAGCAGGATGTACTCCAGCCCAGAGCCTGAAACAAAGACGCAGGAGGTTCCAGCTCGGTTGCCTGCATTATGCTCCGCTCACCTCCCCACTTGCGCCAGGGACAGCCCAGGCAAGGCCCAGGGCTCTCTCCTCCTTCGGGGCCTTGCCCAGCAGGGCCGGAGTTCAGCTCACAGCACACAAGGGGCTGCCCGGCTCAGGAATCACAGGGCAGTTAGTTACCGAGCCAGCGTGACTGAGCTCAGAGCAGGCCCTGAGCCGGCGGGATGGAGCCGCTCCGAGGCAGTGAGGGTAGCTGGGGTCTGGTGACGAGCATGCGGGGCCCGGGGGCTCTGTACCACTGCTCCTGGCTAAGCAATGGTGCGAGGAGGCCGGGCCTCCCCGAGCACTGACTCCCTGCAGTACCCGCCCCAAGCCACCCCCCTCCCCCCGAGTAGACCTGCATTCGCCCTGTACGCCAGGCACAGCCCGCAGCCCTATTCCTGCAGCCCCTTGAGCACATTCTGGGCCAGCGCCCGCCCCCCTCCATGACTAGTGCCTGAGCACAGCACCAGATGCCAGCACCTCCCCATGTGCCACCCTCCCACCTACCTTGGCTACTGCCACCGCATGGCCCGCCGCACCCTTCGCCACACTTCTCGGGGATCTGGCTGCAGAGGAGACCAGTGAAGAGAAACAGAAAGTGGGCGTCTAACCTGTCCTTTCCCAGAGTAGCGGGAGAACGGGCGTCTTGGCACTAGCGCCGCTGTGGCTCTGTCAGGGTCACTGTCCCACTGCCAGCCCTGCCACGTTCCACGGGCTGCTTTGGAGAGACCTTCCCATGCCCACTGGTGCCCAACCTCAGCCAGCTGTTTGGTTTAAATAGGGGCTTGCCTACACGTGGCCGTTGTCACGGAGTGTGGGGGGACACAAGGCCCTGCACCCCCGGCTTCCTGCGATTCACCGTGACTCTCAGCCAGCCAGTAAAGCAGAAGGTTTATTTAGATGACAGGAATACAGTCCAAGACAGGTCTTGCAGGCACAGACAACAGGACCCCCCTCGGTTAGGTCCATCTTGGGCTCCCAGGGCGCCCCAGCCCCCTTGCGAGGTCAGAGCCCCGTCTGCCTCCCAGCCATCTCCCCAGCCAGCTCCTGAAACTCTCCCTTCAGCGACCCCTCCCACAGCCTTTGTTCAGTTTCCGGGGCAAAGGTGTCACCTGGCCTCTAACCCCTTCCTGGGTTCTCATGTTACATGCTCAGGTATTCTCCGTAGGTCAGTCTCCCATCCCCCAATGCAGACTATCCTAGCCAACGTCCCCTGTCAGCATTCAAAGACCACAGTAAGAACAGTCCCAGTTTGTCACAGCCGTTAATGCAGATTAAGGCAGGGGGTGAATGGCAAGTGTACTAGGTGTGCCTGACCAGCTCCATGTGTGGCCACTCCGATTCCAGACCAAGGAGTCAATCAGGAACAATGCCACACGCAGACGAGCCCTATGTTACCTGGAGCGTAGCCCTAGTCTCTGTTCTCCAGCCCATCACCCTGGTGTCTGCACCTGGCTCCATGACTTGCACACACAGGCTCTGCTGGATGGGTCACGCCGGGGGGTTTTCGAGCCCCAGGGACTGGTATTGGCTGGTGACAGTGTGTGAGTGGTCAGCCAGGACTGAACTGTGGCAGGTGAGCATCGCAGATAAGGCACTTCCCAGCCTGAGTTTGCTGTGAAATTCTGGGGCTCATAACTAGTCACAGCCAGCGGGAGCCGGGGAGAGCGCCAGGGCACAGAGCTCACCTCACTAACAGCTGTACTGGCATCGGCAGCCAGTGCGCTAAGATCTGCCGGTGCAAATCCCCTAGGAGGGTGTCATGGGGCACAGGGTGCCTCAGAGTCCAACCCAGGCCCTGCCCTGGGGCATTCACTAACCCCCTGCCTTAGCCACTGTGCTCTCGTGCCGCTCCGGCCTAGCTTTCTGGCCCGGCCAGTGGCAGGGGGCCAGGGCTGCTGGTCTCAGGGTAGCTGCAATCCCGCTCAGTGTGGGGGTGTCTAATGGGAGAGCTGGAGGGGGAAGCAAACCAAGAAATCCCAGGGTATTTACCTGGAACATGCTCGGCACTCGCTGCCCTCCAGGTAGAAGCCAGACTGGCAGTTCCCACACTGGGCATCCTCCTTCTCTGAACCTGGAAGACATTGCACACAGCTCGCGCCTGCCAGCGAGAGGGGTGTGGCCCGGGGGCAAAGGGGGTGGGCATGTCCTCGGGGGGGCGGTTCTTGGGACTGGCCTAGTCGCATGGCACGGATCTGTTGGCGGGAGCCCAGGGCAGCAGGGTGCTGACGGGGCAGGCCCAGCAGCAGTTGAGTGGCCCCAGCACGGGCAGCGGGTGTCTGGTGCGGCTCCCTCGCGACGGGGGATGTAGGGGGGGGTTAGAGCGTGTTCCCCGGCAGGCTGCACGTCAGCCCGGGCTCAGCAGCTGGCGTGCGGCGCCTGCTCCCGGGCTACACAGGGCTGGGAGCTGCTAGACACGGCTCAGACACCGCCAGGTGCTTGCCTAGGCAAAGCCTTTCCCTTGCCCCTAGCGTGGGCTACAGGCCGTGTGGGCGTCGGAGGCTGCAGTGGATGTGCTCCCACCACTGAGCCACACTCCCTCAGCCAGCTGGGCCACGGCCTGAGGCCACAGCGAGCCTGGGGGGGCGGGCACAGCGCAGCAAGACTGGGGGGCGGGGGGCAACACGGGGGGCAGCGGGGCAGGCGGGGGGCAGTGTGGAAGGCACAGCAGTGCGGGGGGCAGGTGAGGGGGCAGCGTGGGAGCAGCAGGGCGGGCAGGGGCAGCGCAGGGGGCAGCGTGGGGGGCAGCAGGACAGCGTGGGGGGCAGCGTGGAAGGCACAGCAGTGCGGGGGGCAGGTGAGGGGGCAGCGTGGGAGCAGCAGGGCGGGCAGGGGCAGCGCAGGGGGCAGCGTGGGGGGCAGCGGGACAGCGTGGGGGGCAGCGTGGAAGGCACAGCAGTGCGGGCAGCAGTGCCAGGATCCAACGGCTGCAGGCAGCGCTCTGGACACTCACAGTTCTTCTGGGTGGCCCTGCCCTTGCACCGGCGACATTCCTGGCAGGTGAAGTCTCTGCAGGCAGGGTCCGTGCACTGCATGAAGTGGCCAGCCCCACAGCCGCACTCGATGTCGCTCGTCTCGGTGCAGTTCTTCAGCACGAGCTGGGAAGCTGAACACAGGACAGGCTTCCTGAGCAGGCCTCTGTGCGGAGCGGAGGGGAAGGGGACTGCTTCCTTCTCAGAGCGGGGCCCAGGTTCCCCAGGCTTTCTCCTGCCCCCCGAGGGCCCTGGCCAGTGGGGTGGGGAAGGGCTGGCCGAGAGGCTGGCGGCTCGGGGCTGGAGTGGCTGGGCTCCTGGCCCAGCGTCTTACCTTGCGCTTGGCACTCGGAGCACTTTCGACATTCCCGCTCGAGGTTCTGGAAGGAGAGGTAGGTGCCGGGCGGGCAGCTCTTGCAGGCCGTGTCGTTGCCATGGCTCGTGCAGGGAGCCGTCATAAACTTCCCTGCAAACAACACCAGCTGGGGTGAGCGTGCGGGTTAGTCGCAGGCGCTGTGGGGATGGGAGGCCGCCCGGGATACCCAGGGGCTCAGCTAGCTGACTGGGACGGTCCCTCCAGGCCTTCTGGGCTCTCTGACCTGCGCGCCCCGTGGTTTGGAGCAATGCCCTGCCCCCCCCATTGCTTTCCTGGTAGGGGGGCCTCGTGCAGTGACTAGAGCAGGGAGCCCTGAGTCAGGTCCTAGCGCTGACCTCAGCAAATCACTGACCCAATATGTGCCTCAGTTCCCCAGCTGACAGGGCCGGACTCCGAGCGCTGAGCCAGGCAAAGCCTTGTGCAGGGCTGGGGGCACACCGAGCCTCACCTGCCGGGCACTTCTGGCAGCAGCGCTTTGGCGAGTACAAGGGGTCGTCAGGTGCACAGTTGTTTCTAGCAACGTGTCTCTGGTGCCGCTGGTGGTGGTGCAGCCCCAGTGCAGAGTCAGCCGGGCTCCTCGCCCTCCTGGGCTCGCTGCCGGTCCCGGCCGCTCGTGGCTTCGGGGTGCCCAACAACGGGAACCCGCTGCCAGTCAGCAGCAGTGCAGCCAGAAAGCCCTAGGGGAAAGAGGGGAACGTTGCCAGGGACTGGAGCAGGCTCACAGCTGCTGCACCCGCCAGCCCCGGGACCTCTGGGAGCCCAGAGCTAAAACCGAGGGGCTGCCACAGGTCAGCCTCAGCAGCCAGGCCTTAGCGCGCGCGCGAGGAGCCTTCAGCCAATGCTCCCTTAGCTGGCACTGGTGCGACGTTTGTAGCTAGCGCCCAGCCCTGCACGAGCGCCGAGGGTGGGACAGGCTGACCGGCGCCCACTGCCTCGTCCCACCCGGGCTCCAGCGGAGTCCAGAGCAGCAGGTGCTGCAATCACTGCCCTCCGGGTGGCCCCTGTCGCACCGGAGCCTGGGGGAGGTTTAACCAGAAGGAACCTCGGCGCATCCCCCACTGCAGTGCAGGAGTCAGATGCACTCTTCACTCTCCCAACGGGGCCACATAGTCCAGTGAGGAGGGAGGGGCCTGGGACTGCGGGGGCCTAGGCACTAGTCTTGGCCCTGCCACACCTGCTGGGTGACCTTGGGCAAGTCACCTTGGGACTGTCTGCACCTGTGCCTCAGTTTCCCTCCCCCAACCTTTGTCTGCCTCGGCTCTTTGGGGCAGGGACTCTCTCTCACTAAGGGTCAGTGCATGGCCTGCTATAATGGGGAGGGGGGCAGGGGGCTGATCGCACCTGGTGCTATTGTACCAGTAGTAAGTGATCAGCCCTTGAAACCAAACCGACTTGGCTTAGGTGAGGGGGCCCCAGCCCCTCCGCTAGAGGAGCCAGTGACTGCGAATCCAATGGGCCTGTGCCCAGGAACAAACATGGGCCTGAACCTCTGTGTGAGGAGCGGTGGGAAAACCCTGTGCCCGGGCCTGGGGCTATCACGGTGCATGCCCCACCCCCAGGCTTGCCCTGCCTGTCAGCCTGCAGGCTGTCAAACGCTGCAGATGGAGCCCCGCTGACGCTGACGTAAGAGCAGGGTTAGCTGTCTGCGGTGTAGCGGGCGTGCCAAGTACCCCACTGGGGACCACTCAGAAGAGAAAGGTCAGAAGAGAAAGCCGGGCTGGGGCCATGGATGACACAAAAGCCCAGCTGGATTCGTGGCCTGAGTTTGATTGAAACGTGCCTATGTCAAGGCCCAGTCGCTGCAGCTGTGGACTGCATTTGGGGCTTGTTTCCAGGCGCTGCCCCACACCCAGCAGGGCAGGACACTTGCTGGGTTTGTTAATGAAAGGCAAGCGGCTGAGCAGTCACTTGACTCCAGGAGCTGGAGCTTTAAGAACACACCAAATACCATGAGGCTCGCACTAAAATCACCCAAGTTGGCAACACTGCAGGGCCAGCACCTGCATGAGCAACGCAGCGGCCCTAGAACATGTTCTCAGGCAGTGCTGCCCTCCCTCCTCCCCCCCTGCAAGTGCCACGGGCAGAGCCAGGCTGGCCAGGGCTGCAGAGCCCCACTAGGAGCCAAGCTGTCACCGAGGAGCATTACCCGGAGCCCTTCCCGGCAGGGCGGCTGTGGTGCGCACTGCGTGACTAACCCACTGGAGCACTCAGCCCCCTCCCCCTGGGAATGCCCCCTGCCAGCCCCTGCTGGGTATTTTCCCCTGCCTGTGTCAGCCGCTGGGTGTGTGGCATTTGCACAGCGCAGCCTCTGGAGGCCTCTGGCTCACGGCGCCACTGCAGGGAACACTGGGTGCGGAGGTGCATGGCCGGAAGCAGGGGCGACCTCAGGCCAGGCTCCTGCCATGGGTACTGCTTCTGGTAAAGGAGGAGAACCGAGGCGTGTGGTTAACACTGAAAAGGCACCGAAAAGTGTTGCATAAGCAGCCTGGTGCAGTTGTTCCTGTAAGTGGCTCTGAACTAACCACTTTCCTAGGAATCGGCGGGCACAGTGCTTGTGGCAGCCGACTGCTCAGCAGAGCGGAAGTGGGGCTCCCAGCCCAGCTAGCGTGCTCAGGCTGTCGGCAGGGCCCCGCCCCCCACTGCCATGGCTCCAAGGAGGACGCCGGGCAGGCGTGATGCTACCGCCCTTCTGGGCCTCCAGTGCTCCCCCATGGCTGCCCCACAGAGCCGAACTCAGTACCGGGGTGGGACCAGACCCACCTCTGTGGGGGTGTGATATGGAGCAGCGGGGCAGGGGAGGACACAGGCAGGGCTGGGCTGGCAGCGGCCAGGCCAGGACATGAGCAGCCTGCTTTCCGCTGGGAGCCAGGCGGCAGCGGCGCAGGCCTCATGGGTCCCATCCCAAGAAGGACTGCGTGTGGTCTAGCAGCAGCCGGTTCCCTGGCGTGGCAGGGTACAGGCGCCCGCCCGGGGTGGGAGTCAGCCCCCTGCAGCGCCAGCCGCCCAGCCTGCAGGCCCAAGTGATGACCATGGGCAGGGGCAGCTGGCATGCCTGCTCAGGGATCCCCTCCAACGCACAGCTCGTCAGCGCCGGGGGGCCAGCCCACTGTTGCCACAGAGCCACTGCGAGAGCCCAGGGATACCCCAGCGCAGGCCCAGGGCCCAGTCCACCCCAGGTGTAGGGCAAGCCCAGGAGAGAGCAGGTGGTGGTCCCCGTCAGGCCGGCACAAAGCAGGGCCCTGCAGCCCCAGCTCAGGGGAGGTGCACCAGGGCCCCTGGGCTGAGCTCAGCACCTCAGCAGCATGAACCTGGCCCCCAGCCAGTTTGAGCTGGGCGTCTCTGGCTGCTACTTTACTTCCCGGCCACCCTGCTCTACCCAGACCTGGAGCAACCGGCCAGCGCCGGCCACGCTGCGCGGGGC